TTGATTCATCTGCTGCTAATCATAAAACTGAGCATGTGGCGGAGAATTTGGACAGTAACGAGGTTAATGAGCAATGTCGTGATGGACCATCCCCTCCAAAGGTATCATCTCCATATCTGGTGCAAGAAACAGAATCACGTGCGAAGCCTAGAGGATCAAAGTTGACCAGTAATGAGGCAGATGAAGCAGAGGAATGCACATCTACTACCAGGGATACATCTTCTGTCTCTGCTGCAGGGGGTTCAGATATGGATGCAAAAGTGGAGTTTGACTTGAATGAAGGCTTTAATGCCGATGATGGAAGATGTGGAGATTCAAATCACTTAACAGCACCTGGATCTTCAGCACCAGTTCAGTTGATTAGCCCACTTCCTTTTCCTGTTTCTTCTTTATCTAGTGGTCTTCCTGCTTCAATAACAGTGGCTGCTCCTGCAAAGGGTCCCTTTGTACCACCAGAAGACCTCTTGAGAACTAAAGGGGCACTTGGTTGGAAGGGATCAGCAGCCACTAGTGCATTTCGGCCTGCTGAACCTAGGAGGGTAATGGAGATGCCACTAGGTGCAATTAACATCTCTCCTCCTGATGCTACTACCAGCAAGCAGAATCGCCTACTTTTGGATATTGACTTAAATGTACCACAAGAAAGAGTCCTGGAGGATTTGGCTTCTCAAAGTTCTGCACAGGTTCCAAGTTCCGTCAGTGACTGTAACCGTGATTCATCATGCGATGAGATTCTGGGCTCGCCTTGTGTACGCTCCTCTGGGGGACTTGATCTTGATCTGAACAGAGTTGATGAGCCTGCTGATATAGGTCATCCAAACAACAATCACAGGTTAAATGCTTCATTTCAGCCTGTGAAGTCATCATCAGATGATCGCCTTAATGATGAGGTTACTGTCAGGAGAGACTTTGATTTGAATAATGGACCTTCTGCTGATGAAGTGAGTGCCGAACCATCAACAATATTTAGCCAGCATGCTAGAAGCAGTGTGCCTTCTCAGCCTACTGTTTCTGGGCTTCGTGTGAGCAGTAATGACATGGGAAGCTTCTCATCATGGTTTCCTGTGGGGAATGCCTACTCAGCAATCACCATTCCATCTATTTTGCCTGATAGAGGAGAGCAGCCTTTTCCAATTGTTGCAAGTGGTGGACCACAGAGAATGCTGGGTCCCAATACTGGTGCCACTCCATTTAGTCCTGATGTCTATAGAGGACCAGTGTTGTCATCTTCCCCAGCAGTGCCCTTCCCATCTACTCCATTTCAATATCCTGTCTTTCCTTTTGGGACAAGCTTTCCTCTTCCCTCAACAACTTTTTCTGGTGGTTCTACAACATATGTAGATTCTCCCTCTGGTGGGAGGCTTTGTTTCCCTGCGGTTCATTCACAGTTATTAGGGCCAGCTAGTGCAGTCCCATCTAATTATCCAAGGCCTTATGTTGTTAGCCTTCCAGATGGTAGCAGTAATGGCGGCACAGAGAACAGTAGGAAATGGCTTAGGCAGGGTCTGGACTTAAATGCAGGGCCTGGAGGTCCAGAGATGGAAGTAAGAGATGAGAATTCTCTTGCCTCGAGGCAATTGTCGGCCAGTTCACAGGCGCTAGCTGAGGAGCAAGCAAGGATGTATCAGGTTGCAGGTGGAGTCCTAAAGAGGAAGGAACCGGAGGGAGGGTGGGATGGATACAAGCAGTCATCATGGCAATAGGGGTGCCTAAATGTCATAATCCAGTGACCATGAAAGCGTGAGTTCCTGATATGCATCCTGTATCCTGCGTGGGGTTCACCTTCCTCATCCTTTCTCCTTATATTTCTTAGGTTCTATCTATCGAATTTTTTGTTACGTATTGGAGGCCTATATTTATTCTTTTCCTTGTCTGTCCCTTTTCAGTTATTTGAGGATGGGCATTGATTGAACTCACAGAGGTCATAACTAACTTGCGATCTATCATAGGGTGTGGATGGTAAGTTGCTTGGCCAACTGTAATCGTCAAAAAGGATCTGTGCAGGGTCTTCGAGCTCTTTGTTTCCTTGAATTTGTTCTGGTGACTGCGATTAGTTTCCCCCTTTGTAGATATTTTAACTGTTGGAAAGCATGCGCTGTCTTGTCCAGACATTTGGAATTGGTGCCCATACTGGTTTAGTGCATCAAGAGTATATTCAATTGGACCCAAAATGATCGTTTCTACATTTCAGTCACTCTGATAATGAAAGGTTGAATAGGTGAACTGCTCTTAGCAGAAGCACTTTTGTTTGTGCTTTGTTGTTAGTTTATCATCCTTTGCCTTTCTTTTAATTATATATATTATATATATTATATTATATATTATATATAAGAATATAAGCAGAATCCCCAAATTTTTGGTACTCAATTTCTTGCATTTGCATGATTTAGTTGCTGTGATTGATGTTATATTCTCTATCCATAGTTGAGTTGTAGATTTCTTTGGGAATTCACAAGATGTTTCTTGAGATATTTTCATTTGGTCATGTTATTAGTTTTGTCGGTTGGTTATTGTCTCCCCAACTTATAGTGGTCTGTGCAGCATGTTGTGAAGGATTCGCACCCTCTACCGAGATGTCTCCAATGTAAAGTGGAAGGCAGGAAGCATGGTAAAGGGGTAACTTTAAGATGGAAAATTGGTTGGACGTTTGTTTCTATAAATATTTACTGACAAAATTTCGGATGGATGTTTATATTGGAAAAAAAACGTTTATGTGCCCTGTTGAATTAGTGGAAAAAGGAGACTTTTCAGATAACGAGTGTAGAAAGGATTACGTTCCCAAATTTCTTTTGATTATTTTTAAATATTCACCAGTTCCACCAGCAATGGCAGTTCTCTATTGAGGCTGCTTTGTTGTCTTTTTCTTTTTTCCTGTCTGTATTATTTCTATTCTTCAGAAGGGTTAAATGCGCTGGTTTCTCGGGGTGGATTGAGGTTTCTTCTGCCAGAGATACTTAGGTGAGATTCTTTTGGGATTGGCTTTAGTCAACTTGGCTGTATGCATGTGTGTGTGTGTATATATATACACACACGCACATATTTGTCTCCGTATCTGTTCATATGGAGTTTTTTAGACCATGCTAATATGGTATTTTATATTTAGACAGAATGATGGATGAGATAAATCATGCTAATATGCGATTACCATCTGGGTGAGAGTTTTGATGCTAAAATTCAAATCTATCCAATTTGATTTACCGTGTGCTGGGGTAGACTCGGGGTTTTGCACTGCAGTTATTTAGTGGTTCAAGTAGTAGTAGTTATTTTTTAAACCGCACGGTCTCCTACTGCTTGTGCGGTGGGTTGGATAAATCTAAAAAAATTGTTGATGATTGAGCTTCTATGTAAAATGATAAAAATGGATTGAGTTTATACGAAGTGTATATAAAATCTTCGACTTTTAAAATTATCTTACATTTTATTTCAACCTTTCCTCTGATTTTGTTTTGTAGGCTAAATCTATTGTTCGTAGTTGGTATTGTTTGTCGTTTCGTAATAAAAGCATGTTGTTGGTGCGTCTGGCCAAGTTTGCAGTCAATATCAAATTATAAAAACTTGGTCAATTTTATTAACAATTTAAAATATACATGGGTTTATAAGATGATAATCAATAAATTTATTTTCTCTTATAATCAATAAACTCAAAAAAGGAGAGATTTGATAAAACATTAATATTTTTTTTTCACTTCAGATTGTTAGTGGATATATTTGTTAACTTTATATTTTATTATTTAAATAATTTATTTATTTATTTTTTTTTTTGTAAATATAGTCTTTATTATTGTCATACGTTATCTAAAAATTGTTATTTTGAAACCAAATAAACGATGATTTAAATCAATATTCACATGCAACAAAGCAATGAAATTGAAACAAACATCTTCGAATAATTTAAATTACCAGGATAATTTTTTTTGCAAAAATTTCACATTACTAAGGCTATTGTAGTAATTGTATTTTGTTGTTGTGTAATTTTTGTTATTTTAATATTTATTATAAATTCTTCAACATAATTATTTAAATATAATACTATATTTTTACATCAAAAATAATTTTTTAAATTGACTTCCATCAATACTGTACATTTTCCCCAAATATTTTTATTAAAATTACAAAATTCCTACCCATACTTGTACTAAATACTCGTTATTAATGTTATAAAAAATATATTAATCAAGTATATTTTTCACTTAACAAAAGAATTCATGGTGAACTATGTTATCAAAGACTTCCTTTTTCTCAAAACCACAAATCCAATTACAATAAAAGAAAAAAGAAGAAAAGAAAATAGGCATATTTCTTCCTTCAATCCTCCAGGAATATGTGAAACAAACAATAATCCTTTGATGTTTTAAGCTCTTTACAACGAATATCACTTTGTAACTAGATTAGAATGCAAGAATATTTTTTTATCACAATAATTAGAGAATGTAAGGATGGGCCGGAAAACATTACTGAAAATGAGCTAAACCTGCCCATCTACACAAACCATTGCTTGAAAACACATGTCGCAGCCTGAAAAATCTCTGCACAACCTACTGGAATGGCTAACAATCGTATTCGATTTCTTCATAAAACAACCCGTGCACTTATCCGATTCGCACAATATTCCTCCCACAAAAGACATTTCTGCAATTACAACGAAAAGCCGATCACGCCTAAGAAATGAAACCATACAAACTTTAAGGTCAGACTGAATTAAAATCAAACAACAGCGACGTGTCTACAGATCTTACACACCAAAAAACAACTCATTTCTATTCAGTTTGGATAGAAATCAAACTCAATAGGAATCAAACTGAACAGACACTGTTATACTGCTAGTGGAGAAATTATGTCCAGAAAATGAAGTGGAATTCCTAAAAGATGAAGGTAAATTATTTCTATGTTTCTTTAAGTTAATGTCTTCATTTTCTAGATCTTACACACCAAAAAACAACTCATTTCTATTCAGTTTGGATAGAAATCAAACTCAATAGGAATCAAACTGAACAGACACTGTTATACTGCTAGTGGAGAAATTATATCCAGAAAATGAAGTGGAATTCCTAAAAGATGAAGGTAAATTATTTCTATGTTTCTTTAAGTTAATGTCTTCATTTTCTAGACCCATAAAGGACCTTTAAACAATTGATGCTTCTTTCTTTTGAATTACTATCCCAAAAGTCATACAAAATTTTGTAGATAAACAATACTGAATTCTACAAATGGAAGATTCCACTTGCACTCCAAAGTAAAACAAGTAGCAAACCAAATACTCACAATGACTTCCATCCATTTCCAGAAAATTCACAAAAAAAAAAGAGAAAGAGACCGAGAAAAACTTTTCTATTTAGCTTTGAGAACATTAACAAGTCAGCTTCTTAGATACATGGGATGAACACTTGACATGAAATATTAACAAAATTGAATATTGTACAAGCAAAAAAGGTAAAAGAGAGAATACTGACAGCAGGCATCCCCGGCGTTGCTTTTTCTTCTTCTCCTTTTGTTTCTGTGGTGGCTTGATTACTACTTTGATTGCAGCATCAAAAACTGCTTTCACATGCTTCAATAACATAAAAAGTATTCCAATTTACAGCAGAATCAAGGAGAATGATCTAATAACCCCATCGAGAATGCACGAAGACATCCCAGATAAATGTTGTTTAGAATTATCGCAGTAAAAGAATGGACATATACCGGTTCAGTGGTCGCAAAAAAACTCCATAAAAGGAATTTATCATTATGTATGCTAGGCCAAACATTTAGGGTCTCTCCCAAGTCCAAACAGAAAAGGGTGCAACACACACACAGCTTTAATAGCAAGAACATCATTAGTAAAGAAAGAAGAAAGATTGCAATCTCTGCCCCTCATCCCCAAAGAGATTTCAATTTTTCATGTCGTAATTCATGATGCAGATTAATTTTTTGGTCAACCATAATTCATATATTTCCCTTTTTATGTAATGGGCAGCATCTATATTTCCAAATCTTCAAATACCTGCTGAGTTTTTGAGCTGCACTCAACGTAATAAGCAGCACCAATCTGTTTACGTAGTTCCTCTCCCTAAGCAGACAACAACAATGATAACCAAATGTTAAGTTGTTGAGTCACATAATCACCAATTACAAAGCAGCTAATTAAAAGAGGCTACACCTGTGCTGTGGTTACAGGCACCAACCCAAGATGATCAGCCAAATAATGCTTGTCCTCACGAAGATCTGTCTCCATAGTGAACATCAAATTTGGTTGCAAAAATTAATATTTATTGAGGAGCTAACCATGATAAATCAAAGATAAATGTGAAAAATATATTAAGCACCACAAATTTTGGAAGGCACTCTCAAGACTCGGAGCTCATTTAAACTAAACTTGTCATAATCCTTTATAGGAAGACATGAGACACCCCATAAATTGGCTTTCTAAATTGGTGTTGTAAACTCTTTGTTTGGATGAAAAAAAGATCATCAAGAGCAAAAGCAATGGGAGGGGTAAACTTTCTTGAAGATTATGTTTGACGAATCTGAGTTCTTGAACTACCAATACTCCTAAAAAGCATATAATTTGATTAGGTTCAGTTCAATGAGTTCAAAGCTTGTTCAAGACTAAGTTTGATAAGCTTGAGTTCTTGAAGTATCATGGGCACCCATTGTCCTAAATGTATTATTTGACAAGCCTTGGCCCCAAACCTTGTTCCAGGAGAAGAGTATCAATTCATTTTTTATCTCCTCCGTAGAACTAAATAATTGAAGATTTTGACCTAGATGACAGTTTGTAACTGCAGATCAAGTGTCATGCCCCCTTGGAAAATTACACAGTCTCCACCAACAAGACTGATGGCCCCTATTATCAATCAATGACAAAATTTGGCCAATAGCTTTTCAAGATTTCAAGAAACCTTCTTTATTTTATTTCTGATAAGATGTTTTTCTAGGGAAAAGAAAAGATAGAAAATGTATTTGACAAGGCACCACGGGGGTGCCACCCAAATACAGAGAGAAGGGAGCAGATTGCAACTGCCAGATTGAATCACAACACACAGGTTCCTTCTAGAATGAACAAAAAGTTTCATCACTAGCTGGTAAATGAAATCCAATTTTGTTCTTGATTCAAAGATCATATTTTTGCAAAAACTTGCTCCCCTGTATCAAATTCACTGTGTTGAATCACTCACTTCCCAATGTTACTCATGCTTTTGTGAAATCTGTACTCTTTTCTAGTGCAATTAGTTGTCTTTGAATAAATGTTCCAAGATGATCAACTGGTATCAGACAAGCTCACCATCTTCGAATGACCCAATTGCTTCCAACTTTATGTTTTTATGGTTTCCTACTATCAAGCTCAATGAAGGGAACATAATTTAATTAGCATAAAATATTGGTGAAAGGATTTCAAACTATCCTGACTTTATAAAGGCCGACAGTCTGATGATTAGCTTTGTCCACTAATTTATTGTCATTTTGAGATAGACACGAAAAACCAACAAGATTGCATGCTGTGAAAAGTTTCCGTAAAAGTAAAAGGATAACAACTGCCAATAACTTGGGAAGGAAAAAGATAATAAATACTTGTTAGCTTACCAAGTTTAGTCCCAACTAGTACCACCGGGACTCCTGGAGCGTAATGCTGGAGTTCAGGGATCCACTGATTGGATAATCATGTGTCAAAAAAGTGTAATTTGTATGAAATATCTCATAACTAAAAGAAAACTCATAAGTAAACTTGACTGACCTTTTTCAGTACGTTCTCGTAGCTTGCGCGGCTAACTAATGAGAAAGCTAAGACAAAGACATCTGCTCCTCTATAGCTTAAGGGTCTCAGCCTATTGTAATCCTCTTGCCCTGCAAAAGTTCATACGAGGCAAAAGATAAAAAAATTGCTAAATTTGGCAAAATTGTGATTTGATGACTCTAAGTTCAGAGAATTTAAGGAGGGGGAAAACAAAAGATTAAGATGGAATCAACACTGAAATTCCTGGAATTAACCATACCAGCTGTGTCCCAGAGGCCTAAGTTAACAGTGGTGCCTTCAACTACCACATTTGCACTGAAGTTATCAAACACTGTTGGTATGTAGTCCTGATACATTCAGCAAACACTAGAATCTTAGAAGTAATGACAATTCAATTCCACAGATGAGACAACAAAGAGGAACATGAAATAGCTTCGAGAAAGAGTTGTTTTCTGTGTGTATAATCTTGAATAAACCAGAAGGAGACCAGAGTAAATTTGGAATATATATTAAAGAATCACAAAAGCTGCAAAACCCGGAGGCAGAAACACGCTTAAAACCACAAGCAGCAATTACAAAGAACGGAAAAATCGGAAAGAAAAAGTGAGATTGAAGAAAAAAGAAGAAAACGTACAGTAGGGAACTTGTTGCTTGTGTAGCAGATAAGCATGCAAGTCTTGCCAACAGCACCATCACCCACCGTCACACACTTGATGAACCTGGAAGCACTGGAAGCCATTGAAAAGGCAAGGAAGCTAGAAAGAAAAGAAGAAAAGGTTGAAATAATTCGATTAATATAAACCCAAAAAAAAAAAAGTGAAGAAATTTATGGGTGGTGGTGTATAGGTTTATTAAGAATGAAGAGATAACGGGGGGGTGGTAGATCACATGATTCTCACTCAATTCCCGCTTTTTTCTTCTCTCTCCTCAGGCTTATTTCATGTAAACCGAATTGAATTTTTAATTTTGTTAGAATCTTTGTATTTTTGAGCCCTAAATGATCTGTTCTGGTTTTTGAAGAGATGGCCACTGCATTTACTTTAGTAGAAGAAAAGGTTGAAGGTCATTTGCAACGGGAGGGAGGGGCCCTATTCCCCGTGATAGGCGCGTGCGCCGCGTGAGATAAATATCTTATGTATCTAATATAATTAAAAATATTTTCCAAGAATAATAATTAGAAAATATTATTATTATTATTATAATATAAACATATCATACAGTGAGCAATGATATTCTTAAATAGTGACAAATGATTAAAGCGTGAGCTTCTAAGCAAACACGTTTATCAGAATCATAAGACCTTAATTTGGAGGCAAATATAAATATTGTTTGTAAGGTTCATTTTAAATTATTTTATTTTAAAGTACGTTGAAACTTTTAAATTTTTATATAATATTATATTTTTTTTACTTACTTAATACATATATATAATAAATTATATAGAAATAAAAAATTTAGTTGTTTCGGACCACCTCCACATTAAGAGTCCGTTTAGGTGGTATCCACTGCATTCATTTATAAACACCAAAATGGATTTGTGGATGTCCTTCAGACCACAATGCATTATTGTCTCTTTTCAAAAATTGCTCTCCTTTGAAAGATCCAAATTTTCAAATAAAAATAGATTATGACTTATTTTATTTCAAATTAAATGTATTGCATGATGTGAATGTCAAATTCTAAATTGAATATTAATTAAAAATGTGATTTGGTTTGATAATTTTTTTATTTTTTTTTATTTTTTTCCCTCTTAGCGTCTTTATGCTTATGGGGGACTATTTGATCACATGCAATCTGTGAGAAAGATTATCGAAAGAGTGCAAGCTGTCTTTTTATTATTATTACTATTGGTTCTCTTTTTTCTCCTTTTCTTTAGTTGGATAAAGACTTTAAATACATTCACCATCAACCCTTTTAACCTGAGAAGAAAGCACAACAAGAAAAGCTATGAGGGGGGTCCCCTCAAGAATGTATACCAGCCTTTTCCAGTTCATAACTCAGGAATGTTTAGCTCGACTTGATATACATTTTCTTATAAAAAAATTAATGATGAGCAAGAACTCACTAGCTAATTCAAAGGAATCCCATAAGGATTTTTGAAAATCAAGGCAATCTTCTGTTGAATGTTGAATTAGAAGGGTTTTCTCGTCTATATACAATGTGTTCTACTCTTGAGAGAAGTGGGTGCTATAGCTGTGACCTGTAGTGAGAGAATCAGAGATTATATAAGATTAGAAAAAAACGTGAAAAAAAATGTAGAAAGAAGAAGGAAAAAGGAAAAAGCGAGTTTGGGTAATCCAGTAATTTTGGCAAAAGTAGAGCTCAAAAGTTGGTTTTAAAGAAAGTGATTAAATGACAAAAGAAACTAGGATTATTACAGGTTTCAAAAGGATTGGTCCAAGGTATAAGTAAAGATTAAGCTATATAATAAATAAGACTTAACTACAAAGTGCAAAAACATAATTGCTAAGTCGGTAAGTAATTTACTGTTTAAGAAAATGGAACTGATCGTGTCTTACTTTTTCTTAAATTACCTGCTCCATATATTGGAAGTGCTTTTGTCCTCAAAGGCCTGAAATTATACTGACTTTCCCAAAAAAGGAGCAAATATTTTTATGTATACTTCTTCCGGTTTATCTATACCATATTTTATTATTGTAAGATGATATACACTGGATAAGAAGCTGTGGCAGCCACCCCCCGCCCCTCCTGGATCGCCCGGATACCACGTTGGATCTCACCTGACTAAGCAGCAAAGTTGAGGATGATTTCTTAATCCCCAAACAGCTTTTGAAATATGATGATTGGCTTACTAACATATCAAGGATGCTTCTCTCCTAAATTACAAATGAAATGATGTCTTATTGCTTTTATTTGGGTAATTCCAAATGTCACAATTCATCATAATTTTGGGAGGCTGCAACTTTCCATGAATAAAGGCTATTTATTAGAGCTTTCTCTTCAAGTTTAGGAACTATAAATATGCAAAAAAGCCCTACTGTCAGTTAATTGGTAGATATTCAAAGGTCCTCAGGCCTTTGAACAGAACCCAAATTCATCCCATCTTTCTTGCTGTCTAGTCTCAACAGATGAAATAAATTTCCTAAATTGCATGAGAATGATGGCAAAGGACTTGAGTAAAGGAGAATCATTCTTTAACTTCATTAAGAAAACACAATCATTCACATACAGCATTGTTCTTTAGTATCAGATGAGGAAAATAAACAACTTCAGCAAAAAATAAAAAATAAAAAAAAAAAGCACACGCACACGAGTGCACATAACCAACTAGCTTGTTTGGTAAACACAGAATGTCAATGAAAATATACTACATGATCTTTCTTTTTTGGACAAATAACAGAAGCTTTATTAAGAGAAAAAGAAGAAAGTACAAAGAGGAGAATAAGGCATTCTTCTAAATTTGCCAATGAAAAAAAAAGAAGAAAAGAAACCATAACGGAACATAAATGAGCAAATTTAATTAAGGAAGATGATAATCTCCCAATTTTGATAGAGATTGAAAGTAGCCATCCAAGAGAAATATCCCTGTGCCTTTTATACTACATGATGTTTCTACCTTCTATTTCTTTTCAGTTATGAAATCTTTCTCCAAAATTCATATAAATGAAGAATAAAAAATCTGAAGGACAACTACTTCATTTACAAACTGCTTGCCTTCCTCCACTTGCGGAAAAATCAAGAAGTGAACAAAAAGCTATACATCCCAAGAAACAGTAACTAACCATGCTGAAGACAAATATAGAACTCCTGACAATGCCACTCTGTAGGATAATGTATAAGAAACATTGGAAAATTCTATTCGCTTATATCAGTTTTTTGGGGAAAAAAACTGGTTATTAGGGGTGGAGCTTGGTTGGAAATCACTGTATTCCAAATTAAGACAATGTTAGGATAAAGTAATATGTTCAAGTACAATAAAATACTTTTATTCTCTCTCTCTCTCTCTCTCTCTCCTCTCTAATTATTTGAGAATTATATTTTCCTCTACCGAATCAAAGCCAAGTAAGTTTAACCAGAGCAAAATTAATTTAATGAGATCTAGGAATTTGAAGGTTGGATGTCTAACAGATTTAATTGTGCATGTCAACAAGACTGTTTGTTAGAGAAAAATTCCCAAAGTTTGGTAAAAAGAGAACCTGCTGAGAGGGCTGTTTGGAAGAGAAATTTTACAGATTTGGTGAAAAGAAATCTTATTGAAATGTGAGAGTTCTTCAGCTAACTCCACAGACGGTGAAGAAAAGAGATCCTTCACATAAAAACATTGTAGGTATCTACAACAGCTAATAAGAAAAAGGTGAAAGTTGAGAGGTTCTTTTTGTTAGTGACACTGCAACCCTAGCAAGAGCCAAGGCTTCAAGAAACTAAATATGGAAAGTGAATCACCTCCTGCAACAATCCGTTACAAGTTAATTCTCAAGGAATTGCTCGAAAAGGTATTATTACCTTTTGCCTATATATTTGTATCATAAACTTGGAATTTGATCATTGGCATGAACTTGTGGCATTTCTTCATTTGGAGGATGGATTTGGAAGCAGAAACCAACATGGATTCAGGGCTTGAAGGAAAAAAGAGGCCGAAAACAATGTTGCATTGCGTGTAAATAAGCAATTGAAGAATGTCTATAACATTGTCATTGAGGAGATGAATAATCAAGTCATGACTACAATGAAAAACACTGTAGGAATATGAAGTAGGAAATGACACAGCATAAATTTCAACTTGAAAGAACAAACATGAGGAAGTGAATAGGGAGTTTGTGTATTGAAGCAGACAATTCTGTAATGAGAGAAGCAAGATTGACAACAATAACAATGGTGTACAAAGTCGTGGTGTTCAAAGAAGAGTAAGTGCATTATATGACTTGCCTCCAAGTTCCAATAACAAGAAGTCATTGAAGAAGAAATTGCGAACTGAGGAGGACAGTGGAAGTTTGATACACAATATTGACAGAGTGGATGCATGAACTAAAGATTTCAAGAAGAGATAAATTGCATTCAGAAATATAAACAATCATATTAAGATAATGAGATTTGAGAATTGGTGCATGACAATTAATAGTAGTGATCTAGATAAAGGTTAGTGCTGGTAAGTTCATGTATTGGAGTGCTTTATATACACTTTATTAATTATATATTAATGGATAAAGTTGGTAGAATATGAGTTTCCTACAATTAATATTGGAACGCATCAGACTTATCCTTAACATTTGTATAATTTTGTAATGCTAGGATCTCCAAAGAAGTAGTACAAGGCTCTAACCTAAAATGTCATATTTGTCCAACAAAGTGGCATGAGATAATAGAATTTCTAACAAAAGTCCATGACAATAAGGCATAGTGATATGAACCAAGGCAGCATGGAAGATTCTCGGGATCATTCAACCCATCCAAGCCGCGGCCAAAGTTCCTCAAGCCACCAAGCACGCGGCCAAGGTGTCTTCAAGGAACAAGCAAGTGGTTTGGGCCCTAAACTGCCCACATATGAGGCTCCACAGGATAAACAAGACTTTGACATAGTGAAAGATGGGCTTGAACCACTTGGAAAGAGTGTAATGATGCCTAATGGACTAATCACGAAAGTTAAAGCCAAGAAACTCAAGCAAGCATTTCATTTCCCAGAGTGGATCCATGATGAATACAAGCTTGAGCCCGAAGAAAAAGCCCATAAAGGAAGAGATTTTGTCCCATGAAGAATCCCATACGAGAGGGGAACTCTCTTTGTCAAGATATAGATATGCTGGTATGATATTAGGAGAATTAATTGAAAATCCTGTAAATTGAGGGATTAGGAGGTTAGGTTTCTTAATGAGTTAGTGTTTTATTTAAGAATGAATAAGTTTCCTGTTGAGTTAGTGTACTATTTAGGAATGAGTTAGTTTCCTATTTTTTTCTCTTGTAACCTACTATATAATAGTATGTCTTATCAATTCAGAAATAGAGGTCTTTCTTTTCTTCTCATATTTCCTCACATGGTATCAAAGCTCTAAACTCCTTTCTGTGAATTTTGCCTCTATTCTCTTCAG